AGGTTACCTTAGCAACAGGTTCAGCCTCCATCTGACCCAATTACCTATCTACACTAACTTCCTGTCTTTAATTCTTGCTTCACCAGGGTTAGGAAAACTGGATGGGGTATGTAAGAAATCCCTATTAATGAGATTGAGCATACAGGGACCTAAGATATGCAATAAATCCCCCAAAAGGGGGGGGGGGTAGGACATATGGTAAAGCCCCAGTGTGTGCAAGAAATCCCCCAAAACAGGGATTGAATACAGGGTGTGTGTGTGTGTGTGGGGAATTAAATATACAAGGGAAAATTCAATTATAGGGAACTACTAAAAATGGGGAATAAAAATTCTAGGGCTAGGGATGGTTAAGAACAATGGAATTGTTACTGAAAGCTCAGTTCTTGTGTTAAACCAAGACACAAAGACCACCGACTCCAATTTTAAATCAAATTAAAGCAAGCTTGTAATTGTGCCAGCACTGTCACTCCCAAAATCCCTGGGCTAGAGAACAGTACCCCAGCTCTCTAGGAGCATAGTTTTATAGCACAAAAAGTTGCAAAGGGACTGGAGAACTTACAGATAACATCATTTTGAAAAGCATAATACAAAGGCAGATAGTAGGTTAATGATCTACATGGCTTAACATTTCAAGGTAGGGAATTTAGATCCCAACATCAGAATTTATGAGGTGCCACTGAAGTTTCAGAGAGGGTCAGGGGGAGCCAGGATTTATGAGGCACCACTAAGGTATTAGAGAGGGTTGTTATCTGGGCAGGGAAAGCCAGGCATGGGTGAGTCCAAGGCACGGGCAGGAATTCCATACAAATTTAGAAATTTCAGTAATTTATAGTAAAACAGAAATTAACTTTTCATGACTTTGTGATGAGATGGCTCCCAATCTTAAGGTGGAATTAGGCTGGGTTCATCACCTTGTCCCTGCTGATGTCAATTCATGTCAATTTAATAATGAAGACATGGTTTTGAGAAAAAGGGAAAAAAAGGTTTATTGCTTTGCTAGCAAAGGAGAAACACAGGGGACTCCAGTCTCAGAGGCTGTGGTTCTGACCATCAGGGAAAACAGAGTACTTTTAAAGAAGCTATCCAAAGGCTACATTCCAGGTGGGGGGTGGAGTGAGGGGTGTGATATGGGGGGGGGGGAGAAGGTGGGATTTGGGGGGTGTTCCAGATATCCAGATGGTGTGTTGAAATTTACTTGTTAATCTGACATCTCCTTCCTGTGGAGGACAGATACCTCAAGGTAATCTTGTTCCCTGCAGCAGCCCAGGAGGCATTAATTAACAATTTTTAAAACAGCTCCCTGGCAAGGAGGGACAATTCCTGGGACAGGTTACCTTAGCAATCGGTTTGGCCTCCAGGTTAGGGAGGGGGGAAGGGAGAAGAGAAAAAGAAAAATCTTGTCCCTTTTAAAATAAGCAGGAAGTGCTATGTTCAAAAGGTGAAGTGGACCACTCTTACAGAAAGAGCCCATATGTACAAATCTTTTCCTTTAATATGAAATTTGACCAAGGAAATAAACAGTGGTGATGAGATGGCAAAGCTAGACCCAGTTGTAAAATGAAATTACAAGAGTGTTATCCCCAGGGAAAGGGTTAGTTCCCCTCCCTGTCTGTCTCCTTTCTTCAGCAAACCTGCCTTTTGGATTGTAAATAACCATCTCTGGGAGTCTGACTACATACTTGAAATATAAACACTCCTCTGGAAGGTTAGAGATTTAACAGAAGCCTGTAAAAAGAGACTTTTCTTCTTATCTGTTTCTGTAAGCATGCTTTATGTTAGAGATCCCACACAAGGTCTTCAGTCACTTAGGTTAGGAATTTAAACAAACAAACAACAACAACAACAAAAATGATAGGACAGGTCTAAGATGACACCAAATAAACTATAAATGTTGTGAGAAACTGTGGATCAGGGCTCAGAATTTGGAGTTTGTTCTCTGGGCCTGCCAGTATAAAATAAAGTTTGGAGTTCTTCTCTTTGAGTGAATGCTGCTTGCTGCATCTAAACTGGTCTGTTTCCCATAACAATGATAATGGGAGTAAATCTGCCCTATGAAGGAAGAATAGCCACCTGAACCTTTGATTTCTGTGTCCACCATGGCTGGCAGATTCTACTTCTAATGTTACCAACTGCATAGTCCTTTTTCATGTCTGGGTCATACTGTGAAAATCTGTGATAGTATTATTGAAAGCTTGTCACTTGTCCCTGATGCCAATCCAAGAATGAGAACATAGTTTTGAGAAAAAAGAAAAGGAAGTTTTATTGCTTTGCAAGCAAAGGAGAAACACAGAGGACTCCTATCCAGAGGCTGTGATTCTGCCCATCAGCAGGAAAAGGGGGATTTTTTTTTTTTTTTTTGTGGTACTGGGGATTGAACTCAGGGGCACTCACCACTGACCCACATCTCCAGCCCTTTTGAATTTGATTTAGAGACAGGGTCTTACTGAGTTGCTTAGCGCCTCACTTTTGCTGAGGCTAGCTTTAAACTTACGATACTCCTGCCTCAGCCTTCCATGCCCAGTGGGACCCCGAGCTTTTACAGAGATGATTCAAAGGCTACATTCTATGTGTTCTCTGTTGGAGTTGTAATTCACTTAATTGGGAATTAATTAATTAATTAATATTATTAATTAATATTATTTATTTATTAATTAATTAATTTGTAATTAATTTGGTAATTAGTCATTTCTGAGATCTTCTCTTAACATCCCCAAAGTCTGGATTACTTTGTTCTAAAGGTGGGTCTGTACTCAAGGACAGATAAATCTGCCTAAAATGGGGAAGAAAGGTAATCCTGTTTCCCTTGAGATTAGAGAGGGGGAGAGATTAGGGAGGAGCAGGGAGAGAGAAAGAGAAAGAGAAAGAAAAATGTTTTGAAAATAAGTTGCAGTGACAGAGCTGCAAGGGACAAAGCATAAAGTGGACCACTGTTACACTGGTGTTCTCCAAACTAAAATTGTTTATATCAGTAATCTCTTTCAGCCATATATAGAAATAACAAATTTAATTGGGGACTTATTTATGTTATTTAATATTTTGTAATTGGATAAAAATGACCTGTCATCAATAAGTGATATATAAAATTTTGTGTTTCTCTTTACACTGGGATGAAAATTTAAATGTATTTTTGGAGGGCAAAAAGGAGAGCCTAATTAATTTAAAGGTTAACAATATGGAACATGAAAACATTTTGCCACTTTTAAAATTTTTTCACAAAAAGAAAGATAAAAGCTCTAGTTTTTGTTTGATCCATGTTTCAGATATAATCTTTATTGTGTCAAGAGCCCCATCTTACTTGAGATAAGTTCCCCTCTCACACTACTCAATGTTAGGATGGCTCTAAAGTAGGCCAAATTTAAGCTTATTTAAAGTTGGGTTCAAAAGATGGATTTTTATTGTAACATTACTATGATCTCAAAATAACCTGGAGATATAATGCAAAGCTACATAAAGGTTTTTGTAAATTATAAAAGACTATAACATTATAAGAGATTTTTTTTGTTTGTTTGTTTGTCTTTGTGGTGCTGGGGATCAGAACCCAGGGCCTTGTGCAGGCAAGGCAAGCACTCTTGTCAACTGAGCTATATCTCCAGACCTGTAAGAGATTTTTTAAAAGTAAAATTTGTAAGGGGTCTAAGTAATTTTTTAAATTTGTTCTAATTAGTTATACACTACAGCAGAATGCATTTCATCTCATGTAATTGAGTTGAGAAATTTATGGATATTTGTGGAGGCAAAATAGATACCAAAGATCTATATTAGTGTTATTATAAAATTGTGTTTCTTGGGCTGGGGTTGTAGCTCAGTGGAAGAGCGCTTGCCTCACATGTGTGAGGCACCAGGGTTAAGTCTCATTACCACATACAAATAAATAAAATAAAGGTCCATCAATAACAAAAAAATATTTTAAAAAATAAATAAATAAATAAAATTATGTTTCTTTGTTCAAAGCTATTATATAAACTGAATGTTTTTGTTAATTTCATTTTGTATTTTCCTTGTAGAACTTTATAACTTTTTCCTGTTAGTGTTTTTAAAAAGTATATTTTAAAAGTATATATTTAAAGTATATTTTGAAATAAGTCATCACAAATAGGACTCCAACATTAAGACTGAAACAAAAACTAGGGCCAAGGAAAAAGCAGCCAACAATTTGGGCCTTGCCCTCTAAGGTCAGTCAGGACCCAGAGAATGATGGGCCCTCTCTGGGCCCTGCAACTCTGGTGAGTCACCCAATCTGTGGATCAGAGAGAAGGAGAGGACCCTAGAGAACAGGAAGCCAACCAGTGCACATTCTGCAAAAAGGAGGGTAATTGGATAGGGAAATGTCTCTAATCCTTCCAGGGGAAGTCACACATGGTCAGTAGGACTCTGATCCATCCTAGCAGATGGCACAGCTGGTAGAAGAAGACAAAAGAAATCAAGAGGCTTTGCACACATTCCCGAGATTGATCTCTAAGAAATCTTAGCTGACTCTTAACAGTAGATAGGAACAAGGTCTGTTTTGACCAATTTGATTTTAAATACGTGGTAGGATAATATAACCAAAATTACAGTCCTACATGGATATTTAAAAGAAAGGGCATGGGGCTGGGTTTGTGGTTCAATGGTAGAGTGCTCGCCTAGCATGGACGAGGCACTGGGTTCCATCCTCAGCACTACATAAATGTAAAATAAAGATATTGTATCCACCTAAAACTTAAGAACAAATATTAAAAAAAGGGCAATAATTCTTTTAATGTAACTGGAGATGTACATTTATGTCAGACCTCCCAAGAGTAAGTAAACCTGGAAGACATAAAGAAAGTTTTTTTTTTTTTTTAAAATACAGGAATGCCTGATGGATGTGTTTATTCTGACTCAGTTTAAGAAAGTCTTCCTAACCTCCTATGATTATTATAAACTGCTTCTCAGACTTCCTTTCTCAAATTTGCAGTTCCTCACTTCCATCCTGGCGACTTGATTTTTTTAATATTTATTTTTTTATTTGTTCTTTTTAGATATACATGACTGTAGAGTGTATTTTGACATATCATATATACATGGAGTTGACAACTTGATTTTAATCAAGACCTGGAGAAGAGATAGTCTGCAATCAAGCTGGAAAGGACCTTACCAAGTGCTCCTGATCACTGGGATGGCTATCTGAACTGCTAAAAAGGGGAAAACTTATTACCAGGTGTGATTTCCAACTCTAAAAGTTTATGTCCAGGATAGATGACAATACTTTTGGTGCAATGAAAATGAAACCAAAAGGTATAAAAAGAAAAACGGGATTTGTGAGAAATAGTCTGGTGGTTCATTTTCCAAATGTACTATTTAGCCTTAATTGGATTCAATTGTAGACTTCCCTTTTGTCTGCCCTAATTCTATTATTAGCTAATCAAGTAGATTGTACCTTTGAATTCTTCCTATCAGGATTGAGAGGCAGTACCTGATTGGGGATAAATGTTAGTGGACTGCCCACCCAGGTGTGCTTGCTTGTAGGATTCCCTTTGAGAGCGCACCATTCTGCAGAAATCACTTTGCCTGATCTACCCACTTTTGATCATGTGTTTGTTTTCTTATGGTACCTCATTATTTCTAACATATGTCATTTATGGAGCTACTCTGTTTTCCTAGTACAAATGAAGTTATCACCCAGGCCTGAGGAGAAGGTGTGAAAGGGGGGCTTACTCTGTAGTCCTGGGTAAACAGCCCACCCCCAACCTCTCCCACATGTAGTAAGGACAGAAAGAATCCTCTTCATTAGCCTCTGTTCCCTAGTTCCCTAGCCTAGTTCCCTAGCCTAATGCAGGTCCCCTGGTGAAAGTCAGGCCAACTTCACAGGAGTCAGACTGGAGTAAGTTGCTAGCTGCCTGCTCCCAGGGTAACTCCTATCTCTCATCCTGTACCTAGAGGTTTGCAGTGGTCTTTTATGGATGCTTTGGCTGGGCTAGCCCAAGGAGGTGTGGACACCCCTTAAGCCCCAGGTCTTGGTGAAAAAAATCCAGAGTTGCAGAGCTGCAGCAAAACCATAAGCCAGGTAGCACTGTTGTCCAGTAGTGTGCCCCCCCCCCCCTTGAAGATTAAAAACCTGAGAAATGAGGAGGCAAGCATAGAAAGCAAGTTTTATTTAAGAGAGAGAACAGAAGACTTCTCTGGAAAGAAGCCAGGACCCAGAGCTGGTGCCCCCAGGAGTGGGGGAGTCTTGTCTTCTTATAGACCCCCACCCTCTCTTTTCAGCACACTGCCCCAAAAAAGCTACTCAGGGGGTAATTGCTCCTGTTGGGAAATATGATCCTTCCTATCCCCTGGAGGTGTTAGCAACTGGTTGATGGGAAGCGCAATCTACCCATTTCCTTTTCTTTGATAATCAGCTATCTGCCCTTTGCCCAGGACACCAAGACAAACATCTGGCAATGTGGGAGCCAGCCTACCATTTGATCCTGGAGTGGAGTCACAGTGAGTCCCAGGATGTGTCCCTGCCCTTTTCCTTCTTGCAATAGCTGGAGTTAAACCAAATACTCTCTTCCCAAGAAAGGGGGAAATGCAAGTGGCTGCCAAGCTGCTGGAAAATAATTCCTGCAAGGTCTCCACCTCTCTGGTTCATGGTCAGCAGATAGTCTGAAACTGGAGGTTCAGGATGGGGCTTGTTGGCCCATTTCTTGATGAGTATTTCTGTTCCTAGGTTTTAGGCTTTTTTTTTTTTTTTAAGACACAAAGGGCGGGGTAGCGTGGGAGGGACAAGGATAGAGTTATATTTGAGATTCATGGAGTCATACCGCCATCAAGCGGAATATGTTTCTGGTGATTAGAGCCCAGCAGTGGGCAAAAGCCAAGGTACTAATATAGCCACCGCCGTCACTCCACAGTCATCCAGAGTGAAGGTGGACGATTAAGCCCTGGCTGGCACTTGTCTAGAGCTCCTTCCGAGGTCGAAGGGAACCCTGGCTCCTCCACCAGGGTACACAGTCTGGCAGTAGGCGGCCCGCCATGGCTGCCACAGGCTGCTTTCTTCCCGACGAGGAAAGGGGCCTCAGCATCACGGCTACCCCAGGCAGGGGCACCTGCAACTCCTCAAACAGACCCCAGACCCCAAGGCCAGACCTGAGCTCAGTCAGCAGCCAGCGGCTTCTCCTGGGCCCTCCCTAAAATGGCGCTGCGGGAAGCTCCGCCCCCTGGGCTGGTTGGTGCAGCACAGCTGCCTGCAGGGTCCCAGGGCTCCTGGATCTGTTGCTTTCCCTGGGTAGGGTCCCGAGGGCATGCAGTCTTCTCCCTATATTTTGGACCCCTGGTCAGATAGACTTTGCTAGGCCTAAGTCTAGCCTTCCCAGACCGTCCTTGCTCTCACATTCCCATCTCACACCAACTTGGTGACAGGCTGCTGGCACAAGGTAAGTGTCCCTTGTGCCTGGGCTTTTCAGAAACCATTTCTGCTAGATGGAACCGTGGTTCTACAAATGACAGTAACTACTTACCTTACTTCCCATCGTGGCTCCTCTCCTCCATTCGTGGCTTGAAAAGCACCAGACACAGCACCCCCCCCCCCTTTGCCACCCTCCTCTTCATCAGGGTTGCTGATGTCCTGCAGTTTGGCCCATTTGGGGCTTAACAAGGCTGTACCCTTCTTCCTTCCCTCTGGATTCACCCCTTGGTAGGGGTCCCTTTTTTCCAAGTATTTTCCAAATGTCCACCACTGGCTCCTGGAGGTGCCAGGGTGGTTGGGGGATGTGTGTGTGTGTGTGTGTGTGTGTGTGTGTGTGTGTGTGTGTGTGTTGGGGGTGTGAGCATTTACATTCCCTTAGGAAGCTACATGTCCCACCTGTACAGGAACCTGGGCCTCCTTTTCTTTCGTATGCACTTCACTTCTCCCTGGGTAGAAACTCCCTGTAACCAAAGGAACAGGGATCTAGGGCCAAAGCTGTTAAGTCCAGGAAGGGGTGTGGAAGTGATTACAACATGCCACAAAACCTCTCAGGTCAGGGTGGTTAGAAGAGATTCCCTCTGCCCTCAGGATACCTCCCTGATAGGACCCCAGGCACTCCTCTGTGCCTCAGGTGGTTGTGTCCCCTGTGGTGGGTTTCATGATTTTGTTTGTTAATATAACACATTCTTACATGTTCCCTAGGTGCCCCAAGGTGCAGGCATGGATAGCCAGGATGGCAGGCTTCAGTCCCACTAGGAGCAGGTGTCTGTATCATGCTCTGTGATTCTAGGTCCCCTCTGTGCTTTATCCCTTAGGGTGGGGTGGAGGTTGTGGGGGGGTAGAAGTGGGAAGTTAGAGCAAGAAGCACAGTGCCTTCTATGAAAGTGGGGAGACTAGGGCCTATGAGTTATCCCCGTGCATAGATCTCTCCCTCTCTACCTGAGCACTAGGGACTCCTAATTATTCACCCTGGAAATTAAGTAAGAAGTGGAGGTGATAGATAGCAGAGTGGGAATGGGTAGGAGGGAGTGTGTTTGTGCAAGTATGCCTGTGTGTGTGTGTGTGTGTATGTGTATGTGTGTGCACAGAGAAAGATAGACCCAGTTGAAGGGTTAAGTCAATTCTTGGTCACTTTGTGAGAGTTTCTTAAGCTCCTCTCAACACTCAGTGCCTGGAAAGCAGTAGGCCTGGTGCATCATTCTCCAATATGCTGTAAGTATCTTCTTTTCCTGGAAGTATAGGCTACAGTAAGAACACACTGAACTCTAGGCAAAATAATATAACTTATCAGAGCATCCCAGCATCCTGTAGTATCCTGCGGGTCCTTCAAACTTTGGTTCATGCTTCTACTCTAAGATGTTGCTTAAAGTAGGGCAACATTAAATATGGGGAGAAGAAACAAAAATCCAGCAGCAGCCAGGTACGGTGGTGCACACTTGTAAACCCAGTGGCTCAGGAGGCTGAGGCAGGTGGATTGTGAGTTCAAAGCAGCCTCAGCAACAGCAAGGCACTAAGCAACTTGGTGAGATCCTGTCTCTAAATAAAATACAAAATAGGGCTGGGGATGTGGCTCAGTGGTTGAGTAATCCCCAGTACCCCCCACCCCACCCCCCAAAAGCCAGCAGCAAATGCACCTGAGAACAGGAGCCACCTCCATC